ATCATGATCCTTTATAAATACAAAATTTTTAGTTTTGCACAAAAAAATGGTTCAATTTTTAAAAGGATAAAGCTTGGGAGTTCGAATGAGCTCCCCCCCGAATCCCCCGAAAATGGAAACAGAGGAAAACAGAGGGGGAAAAGAGGGTGAAGGCAAGAGAGAGAGAGGGAGAAAGAGAGAGGAGAGGAGAGAGGGAAACAGAGAGAGAGAGAGGAAGAGAAGCTCGGCTGATCGTCGGCCGATCGTCGATCGTCTCAACAGCTCGCCGATCGTCGCAGCAGTTCGGCCTCCGCCTCGCCTCCGCCGCGCCTCCGCCCCTGGTTTATGCCCCCTCCTGTCCAGTTCTCCCTTCTCCCTTCCCTTCTTCTTCTTCTCCCTTCTCTTCTTATTCTTCTCCCTTCTCTTCTTATTCTTCTTCTTCTTCTTCTCCATTCTTCTTCTTCGTTTCTAATTCAACCAAAAAAAAAAAAAAAAAACAAATGGAAAAACGACGTCGTTTTTTAAATTAGGGGGATTTGGGGGGGTTGATTTCGAGCTACGTAACATTACTCTTTTAAAAAAAAAAATTCAAAATTTTTTTTTTAAAGCTTTTTCAATTTGAAAGTTGATATTTTAAAGTTTTGAAAATCAAAATAAATGTCAAATTATCGTGTTCTTTTATTGAATAATCATAAATGATGAGCAATCATTATTTGAAGGATAATTCCAACTATTAAAAATTTAATGGGACTTGAAGGTCCAAAAAATCTTAGTTAAAATTTAATGGAATATAAATTTATAAATTAAGACTTGTGTGTAAATGTCTCAAAAAAAAAATGAACATTTATTTTCTTGCATGCATTTACATAGATGAAAATTTTTATAAAAACAATGATGGTAAAAAATATAGAGGGCTGCTATTAGCACCTACATATTTACTTTGGATCCCATTATTTCAAAAAAAAATTTAATTCCAATTTTGTTCAAAGATAAAATTCTATTTCTATCCTCATCCTTAACCCTTTAACCTTAATTTTCTAAACTCTAACTCTAACCCTAACCCTAACCCTAATTCCATTACCTCCGACAACCACTATTCATCCCAACGTTGGTCGTCCACCTTCTTGTCACATCCAACCACCACCAACATCGCAGCACTCTTTTCTCATTCTTTCCACCACTACGCCGTTGCCACCACGACCCACCATCTACCCCTGCTGCCATCACTGCTGAAACCCTAATCATAGATTTCGCGCGCCCTTCTCTCAACTTACCATCACTGGCAGAAAGTGTAAGAGAGAGAGAGAGAGAAAGAGAGAGAGAGAGTTGCAAAGAAGAGAGATCGCGAGTTCAACTCTAGCCACAAGTCGATCAATTGAATCCATAAGCTATTTCTTCTTCTTTTCCATCGTCCTCGTCTCTATACCCATCTATCTACATAAAAGACCTCGCAGACAATCTCCTCATAGGTAATGATTCTCAAAACCCTAATTTCCAATCTCAACCCACTTTTTTCGAATCCTCCGAAAAGATCCTCATCAGGGTTCTGAGCACAATCATCCATCTCATCAACAAAGAACAGAGCGTCGAGCTTACTTGCAGCAAGCTCACAATTGTTCATCTCCTACAAGGCAGAAACGCCGTCACCGTTCTCGCGCCACATCGACGATGAAATTCAATAGCCATTAGCAAAAGACGAAGCTGCGGTCAAACTCGACAAATTGCACTATTTCTTCACTTTGTGTGTTCCTTCTAACGCTACGTTTGACGATGAAGAAGACAACGATAAAGTAAAAATGGAGTCTGAGAATTTATTGAATTATGGAGTAACAATCGCGTCGAAAGGGAAAGGTAAAGAAGACGAAAAAGAGGAAGAAAAATGATAGGAGGTGGGCTACCGGAGACAACAGAAGTGGTACCGGAGACAACAGAAGTGGTACCGGAGACAACAGAAGTGGGGGCTAGGGTTTGGGTTTGGGTTTGAGTTTGGAGTTATGGTATAGTTAGTATTAAGGTGGGGTTCAAAGAGAAAATGGTAGGGACTCATTTTGCTTATTGGGGTTCAAAGAATTAGAGGGTCCAAAGTAAAGATGTAGGTGCTAATAACGACCCTCAATATATAATCATTGTATAAAAAGAAATTGTGAAGAGAAACATGGACAAAAAGAAAAGGTATGTGGGAAAAAATAAATTCCTCTGTATATTTTGCAAGAAATTATTAGTTTAACTAATAAACTAATTTGAGTTATACAAAAAATTTTAGGTTTCGTTTAGCAAGCGAGTTGGGACTACTTTAGTCTAGTGAAAAATAAAATATTTTGAAAAGTCAACAAAATAAAATATTTCATTCAAATCATAATCATTTAATTTTTTCTTACAAAACTAAAAAAAGTCAAAAGTTATTTTCAAACAAAACTTTTTTACTCAACCTAAAATAAATAAAAAAGTAAAAAAATCAAGTAAAAAAAGTTCCTTTCAAATGAAGGCTTAGTTTTCTTTAACTCTCTATCTAAGGCCAAACAAAACTCTTTTTGGTCTAGTTAAAATAATTAAAATATAAAAAATTTAGGCAAAAAAATTCTTTTCAGATGAAAACTTAGGCTCTGTTTGGTTTAGATTTAAAAACATAATTTCACCACTGATTTGAGTGTAGTGTTTGGTTACAACTTTCAAATTATAATTCTACACCTATTTCTCAAAATTCATTTCAAGCTATAATCATTATTTTTCAAAACTTATAATCAAACACACAATTCAAAACTCTTTTCAAAACTCAAAAACAACTTAATTTTTATTTTAAATATTTTTTATTTTTTATTTTAATATTTTATTTTATTTTATAGGAATATTTTTAATATTTTAATTTTCATAAAAATATTTAAATATTTTGATATTTTAATTGTAAATATTTTTTAGGAATATTTTTAATATTTTGATTTTCGAAATATTTTTAATATTTTAATTTTCTAAATATTTTTAATATTTTAATATTTTTAATGTTTATACAGGCCTAAAAAATAAATTGACAGAAAAATTAATTGACATAAAATAATTGACATAGAAGTTATTTGAAAAAAAAAATTATTCAAAAAAATTACTTAAAAACAATTAATTGAAAAAAAAATTATTTTTTTATTTGAGTATTTTAAAAATAGTTTGGTTATAACTGTTGATAAAAAATACGGATATCGAGTTATGAGTTGTGTGTTTGATTATCAATTATAGGCTGAATTAAGTTTTGAAAACTATTTTGAAAACTCATCACCAAATAAATTTTCTCATTTTACACGTCACATCAAACTTTCAAAACTCAATTCCACATACAATTCAAAACTCAATTCAACACTCTATTAAAAAATCATAACCAAACAAATTTTCTATACTTAAATTATAATTTCACAACTTATAAACTCAAAACATGACTCATACTCTCAAATAGGGCTGGGCATAGGGTCATCCGACCCGCCCAAACCGCCCTACCCGAACCGAACTGCACGCATGTGGGCGGTTTCGCAAACACATTAGGGTAGGGTGCGGTTTGGATTTTATATAAATTTCGGGTTGCGGGCGGGTTGCGGGTTTGACCTGCACCCGCCCAACCCGCCCGTATTAAATTAAAATTTTTTTTCCCTTCTTTCAAATCTAACCGTCCATCTCTCACTCACCATCTCACTCACCTATAACAAACAAAACAAAACAAAAGAAAAAAGAACCCTAATCAAATCTAATCGGCTCCCTCACTCTCTCTCTCAGTCTCACCATCCCTCACTCACCACCATCACTGTCTCTCTTTCTCACTCTCTCGTTTCTGGCAGCTGATCATTCAACGTAGAAACTTTCTACACCGATCACTCTCTTTCTCATCTCATCGCACCGATCATCATCGCACAGCCGATCAATCTACTTTACAGGTAAACTCTCACAATCTCTGTCTCTCTCTCTCCCGATCATTGATTTTTTTTGTTTTATATATATATATCAGATATATATGTCTGTGATCTGATCTGATTTGTCTCCCTCACTCTCTCATCTCATCAGTCTCACACTCACTCTCTGGTTTTGCACTGCACCGATCGACTCACACACAGGTAAACGTCTCTCTCTCTCTCTCTCCCTGATCTCTCATCTCTGATTTTTTGTGGACCAACAGATCTGATTTTTGTTGTGGACCAATAGATCTGATTCAAAATATGATCTTAATTGTGATATGAATTTTATGATCTTAGTTCGAAATATTTATGATCTGATTTTTGTTGTGGACTAACAGATTTCAGTCTCACCGATCAGATTTCTGTTTTGGCCTCTATTTGGAATGTAAATATGAATCTGTTTTGATCTTAGTTGAATCTGTTTGTTTTATTAATTGTGTTTGTATTGAATCTAAAATCTGAATATGGATGTTATTTAATTTTTGGGATTCAGATTGACTAACTAGGTGGAATTCAGAAAAAATAGGTAGAATCTGTTTGTTTAATTCTGAATTGAATATGTTTATTTAATTCTGAATTTTTATAAGTTTTAGTTCATTAATTATTAATGTTAGAGCATTTTAGAAAATATGAGAAAAAAGATCCAAAATAAAGATTGACAAAATGGGAGAAAAAAAAAGGTTTAAAAATAAATTTTTGGATAAAAAGTTCAATCCGCAAACTGCCCGCAACCGCCCGCACACCCGTGAACCCTATCCGCACAAACCGCAAACCGCATTGTGGGCAGTTGCGGGTTGATTTTTTCCCAAACCGCATAGATGCGGGCGGGTCCAAACCGAACCGTAAACCGTCCTAAACTGAACCGCGGACACCCCTACTCTCAAATCATATTTACAAAATTCTACCAAACGCAACTTTAGATTCCTTTAACCCTCTATCCAAGCAAACCCAATTTATTTTTTTATTTTTTCTTCTTACTCACTTTTCTGTGTTATCTATGTAACGAAAGTTTAATATTTAAATAAAAAAAAAACTTTAATATTTAAATCCAAAATCGAGCGTTGAATATCTCTCGCTCTCTAAACGCATTTCTGCATATTACATCCAGATAGTACGGCGACTTCAATTCCGCTAAAAGCTTTTTTAACCGTCACGTCATCTATATTTATTTCTTCGTCTGTTCTTACTTTGACTTTCTCTCTCTCTCTCTCTCTCTCTTTTCTGGGTACCCAGGATTTGGTGATTGAGGTATGTACGCATTGAAAAATCCCAAGTTCATCGACTCCAAATTCATTATTTACAGTGAAATCCAGAATTGATTGTTATCTGTATTTCCTTTGAATTTTTTTTAAATTGTTGAGTAATTAGCAGTCCTTGTGGACAATCTTCTTTATGAATTTATGTGTGAATACTTTGTTCATGTTTGTCGATCTAGTTTGAAACCATACTGCCTTATTTCGATCTACTGCATCACATTGACTTTCTGTAGGCTTTAATCTGAAGTATCGTTTGGCTTTCTGTATTCTTTCTGGAAGTTTTGGTGTCTGAAAATAGTGTCTACGATTGCCGATATGTCATTCTTCGCACAGGTGAATTGTTAAAAAAGTGTTTGGTTTGGTTTTTCAGAATACACTTTTCATATTTTATTGAATTTTTTTAGTATTTTATGTAATTTTTTTTTTTTAAATTTTTAGATGGACCTGACATAAATATACGTAAAAGTATAATATTTGTAAAAAAAAATATTAAAAATTTACTAAATACTAAAATACAAAAAAAAAAAAAAAAAAACGAAAATTCAATACATTTTCGTATTCTAATATATTTTTCAATTTTTTAAAATACTAATATATTTATCAATTTTTTAAAATATATTTTTTGAAATATTTTACTTTTTAGATACATCACATTTAAAAAAGTAAAAAATTGCTTAAAATTTTAAAAATATTTATTAAAAACAAAAAAAATTGCGAAAAATAAAAAACTTAATTTCTAAAAAATTGAATCCAGAAAATTGAAATCAAACACAGGCTCTATGAGTTCAATTGTTTTCAAGAGTTGTTTTGATTATATATATGGAAAATGATATACAAGTCTACTTTTTAGACCCATTTTTTAGATTCAGTGTCAAGAAGATAATTGATTGATAATTAGAGAATATTTAATATCAACAAATCATATTTAATTACCATTTCTAGTTGAGAATATAATTCCCTTTCGTATTGACTAATTTGAACCTCCTTTATGTTGATTTATTTCCCGTCTTTTATACATGTTTCTTGCTAGAACATGCATTTTAGTGGTATATCCCTTGAAAAACTTTTGCTTGTTGCACTGTACAAATTATGTTTAGTATCACTTCTTTATGTTTTCGCCAAGTGAATCGGAGGAGTTTGGTTGTGTTTTCCATCAGAAACAAAACAGTGAATAGTTGGAAAATACTCTCAATTTTCATATCGTTTGTTCATTTTTGCGGAAAAAACAAATTTTGAAAATTCGAAAACAACTTTTTAATGTTTATTAATAAGCATTCAGATTTTTTTGGGGGGGAACAATTTGCCAAATGAGTTTCCTGTGTTTCCCTGAAAAATGAAAACAAATAGCAGAAAACGAAAGCAAAACCAAATAGGCAGTTCTGCGGATTTAATTCGTTCACTGAGTTTAAGGGGTCACTTGATTTTTCTTACCTGAATTACAGGAAACTATATGCTATTCTAGTTTTAATGATTCATTTGAATATTTTTACCTGAATCATGGATATCTATTACGTAGTTTTAGATATAATTTATCTGAATCACGTCGACCTTGTCGCTTGTTTTTTGTTTTCTATGCAGGTGTTTTAAGAGCTTGAATTCTTGCCATTTTCTCCTAAAAAACTATTTCAAAGATATATCAAACAAATTCAGTGTCTACAATTGCTGCAAGAATTTGCTTGTACTGGTGGATTGGAGGAGTTTAATGGGTTTCGTATGTTTTGGTTTAGTAACTTTCTTGAATAGAAGAATTAATTTGTTTTGATTTTGGAAGAATTTGAATTCTCTGCAATAACCTATAATGATTGGGAGGAAGAACATGGGACGGGCATCACCAGTGTTTCTGATTCTTTTGGCCCTTGGCTCTTTTATTGCAACATATAATTTGCTAACTGTGATAATTGACAATAGAACAGCTGATTCAGGGAAATGGGTCCATGATGATTCAGACAGTCAATCATTGTCTGATCCTATTATTGAAATGCCTGCGAATGTGAAGAGACCAAAGAACGCTAAGCTGCCTTTCCACGTTGCCTTAACTGCAACTGATGCTCCCTATAGCAAATGGCAGTGTCGCATTATGTACTACTGGTATAAGAAGAAGAAGGACTTGCCTGAATCAGAGATGGGAGGATTCACTCGGATTCTCCATTCAGGAAGTCCTGACAACCTAATGGATGAGATTCCTACTTTCGTAGTTGACCCTCTGCCAGCGGGTCTGGATCGGGTTAGTGATCTTCTATTGTCTCCTTTTTTTTCATTTTCTTATAATTCTAGTTTTCTTCTATAGTGATACATTTGTTAGTTAGAAAGTCTTTGACTAGCTTCTGGCAAAGGCCTTCAATAATGTAATATATAATTGCTTTGTTTGTCATTATTGAGCCATCTTGAAAATTCACAACTTCTCCCATTTTGTCAAATTGGGGTTGAAGAAGCATTAGGCTTTATGACTAATTAAGAGTTCAGGAATTGATTTGGCAACATTTAGATAGAATTCGTGAATGAATGAGTGGGGAATATCTATACAGTCACAATGCAAAGGATGTTGAAAAGAAATCATTTTTTATTTATATTTATTTATTTATTACTTTTGGTGGGAGCTGCATTTTACATCTATCTTTATTATCTATATCTATATCTATATCTATATCTAAAGTGAACATCCCTTATGGTGTCTTGAAGCCTTAGTTTCTTATGTTGCCACGGGTCCACTTTTTTATTTAAAAAAAAAAAATTAGATAGATGTGAGGAGGGGACTTGAACCTTGGACTTTTGTCAAATGAAGAAGACTTTTGCCACTTAACTAGCACACAATATATAATAAATATTTTATTTATTTGAATTGCACACGCATCGCTTGTACCAACCGCTAGTATTTTATGGATGCATTGAACAGCGTGTCTGCAACTTGAGAACTCTAGCTGACTGGATTTTGGGTTTTCTTAGACAGTTAAACAATGTGTCGTCTAATTGAAGCTCTTCAAAGGGGTGGAAAATTTTGCTGTTTTGGCTCCTAGATATTTCAATTTAGGCAAGAAAAATAATTGGGGTAATCATGCATATTTTAACTCTTCAAATAATTTCTTAATGAATATGTGGATCGTTTTGTCTTTCTATCTGATTCCTATGATCTATTTTCCTTTCCTAGCACTCAAATCAGTTGTTGAAATTTCATGTGATTCTGTTAAGGTTTTTCTTAAACTTCTAGGAACTCTTATGAACTAATTTCCTGATCGACTAAAGTTTAACTGCAAGTCACAGATTTACATCTTGGTTCAAGCAAGGCTGCTTATTTGCTTCCATAATGATCAGCAAAGATGTAGTTGAACATTTTTCCCACTTCATTTTCTCCCTCCCCTTTATGATCAAATATGCAGCTGTTATTAATGTCAGTCAGATTTTTAAAGCTATTTAATTAATTTATTATTTTAATTTTTTTTTTTCTAATATGTTTTTCAAATGCTGTATCAGGGTTATATTGTTTTAAATAGACCATGGGCCTTTGTACAATGGCTGGAAAAAGCTACTATTGAAGAAGAGTGAGTGTCCTTTTATTAATGATTGAGTTACATTTTACATTCAGTAAACTCTAAATCTGTTTGTTTGCTACTGCCATAGATACATATTGATGGCAGAGCCTGATCACATATTTGTAAATCCACTTCCGAATTTGGCACATGGGGGGCTTCCTGCTGGCTTTCCTTTTTTCTACATCAAGCCCAAAGAACATGAGAAGATTGTAAGGAAGTTTTTTGCCAAGGAGAATGGCCCTGTAACAAATATTGATCCAATAGGCAATTCCCCTGTTATTATCAAGAAGGTAAAATCCATTCTCAATATTTACCTCCTAATAATTGGTTTGACTCAGTTTCCTATCACATGACAGTAACTTCTGAAATACATCTTAATTCATGTTAAGTCTTAAACTATTTTGAGTTTACTGTTGCTTGTTGATTTTGGCTTCTATTGTTATTCTTTTTGTGTCTTTTTCATAAATGTCCAGGATACTCTGGAGAAGATTGCACCGACATGGATGAATATTTCTTTGAGAATGAAAGATGACCCAGAGACTGATAAAACATTTGGATGGGTGCTAGAAATGTGAGTAGAATAGAGAAAATAAGTCACTTATATTGCAGTTGAGTCAAAATTTAGGAATGGTGAATTTTTTTTTACATATATGTCTTCCTTTTTTGAACTAAGGTATGCTTATGCTGTGGCCTCGGCTTTGCATGGTGTGCAGCATATACTTCGAAAAGACTTTATGATACAGGTTTTGAACCCTGCACTGTTAATCTTTTCTTAGGTTTTTCAATTGTAGTGGATTGATGAATCACAGATACCAAATTATTATGTGCACATCAAAGCTTTCTTAAAAGTTCTTGCTATGTTGATTTTTCAGCCACCATGGGATTTGGAAACTGGGAAAAATTTTATCATCCATTACACTTATGGATGTGACTACAACATGACGGTAAAGTTTATTATTCCATTAATATTCATTTAGTTATGGAAATGTCTAGCTACTTTCTTTCTATTGTTTATTTATCTTTTGGACAGGCTTGTAGCCTATTTTATGTGGTAAACTTGAACTAAAAAAATCCTTTAGTGCACAGGGCGAGCTTACATATGGAAAAATTGGAGAGTGGAGATTTGACAAGAGATCATATCTCCGTGGACCTCCGCCAAGAAATCTCCCTTTGCCCCCTCCAGGGGTTCCTGAAAGTGTGGTATGTGTATAGCAATGCCCCCATATAAGGATTTGTCATTTGGAAAGGCATTTTTAGTATGAGTGCAGTTTCTTGTCTTATTACACTTTTTGTGGGCTCAGCTCACAAGATATAAATTCCATTGAGCATCTGAATTCTTTACATCTTCTACGCAAATATGCTTTTGTCTTTTTGACATGGTTTGCCAGTATTAACTGTACTCATGGTTTCTTATGTTACATTTTGTGTGTGTTCCTCATTTTTGTCCTCCCAATTCCATTGAGAAGTTTGTTGTCACGAGTCTTTTAAATGTTAATTATGTTGAAAACAATGAAGAAAATTTACTCCTCCTGGACTTGCGTTTGCTGGAATGTGCCATGTATATTTCCAACTTTTTACTCTTTCGTGTTGCCCCTACAGAGTTTGACAGTGAGGCTTAAATAATTTGGTAGATTAGAATATATAATTTAAAATTCGTAATAAAAGTCAATGAATAGGAAGAAGTGATACTTATAGCGTGGATGCTTCTGGTATGTACAGGAGTGGTAAGCAGCCCCCTGCCCATGCACAGATCTTGTACAACGAGTGTAGTATAGCTTATAGAGATTGATTAATTGAAAGTCAGGATATAATGGGGTAGTCTAAATGCAAAACCATCTTTCAGCTTATTCAAAGTACCTTTTTGAAATGACTAGTTTTTCAATTCATTTTGGTAGGTGCTATATACAAAATATATTTGAATTAACAAGGCAAACCACAAACCTCCTCCTGGAAGGAGAGTGATAGCACCCTTTTTGAGTGGGAGTGTAGCTAAAAAAAGATGCATCGAAGAGCTCTAGGGTCCAATTTGCTTCTCTCAAAATTTGGAATTTGAACATAAAAAACACAACTAAACACATGAGGAACAAGAAATGAAGAAGATGAGGTACAGACATAGGTAATACCTCAACAGGTGACTTGAAATTCAAAACTCTGGAAATGATGCAGTAAGAAGAGCATCACCTCAATATGCTCTGGGAAGATTCTTGAAAAATAATTAGACCCTAGCAAACTTTAGAAGGTGGCAGTTCTTTCTCTCGACCACACCATAATGTTGAGGTGTACCACCACAAGGAGTTTGGTGTGCAATGCTATAATCACATAGATAAGGTCGAGGTCTACTTTTGATATTATCTCAGTGAAAAACCTTAATAGATTTATCAAATTGTGCCTGAACCATTTGATGAAAGTTCTTAAAATAAGGAAAGAAAAAAAAAAAAATCACGCTTTTGCTTCAATAGATATAGATGCATGGTGTTTGAGAATAGTCATGTATGAAAGCAACAAATAAAGAAGCAGCATGAGCATCCTAAACGTTAGTGTGTTAGAGTAGATTCCCAATAGAATGGAGACACAAAGAAGAGGGAGAGAGAGAGAAGAGAACACTCAGTATACTGCTAATGATAGAGACCCATTTAGAATTAGGGTTCTTCTCTTAGACACTTGTATTTATATTAGGAAGATCCGAACTACATGAATACCCCTCAGTCTAAAATAAAACATTACACTCAACATAACCTATAACGCCCTGATATTTTAACTCATTTTGTAATTTCCAATCCTTAATTTCCCAATTTCATGATATAGACATGATTTAATGAAATTCAAATGAAGCATATTAATTCATAATACCAAAACAATGCAAATGCGGATGTAATGCATGAGTTTGCAAATGTTTCAATTTGCCTAAGGTTCAATTTAATACTATAGCATTAAACAACGTAATCCATAAACATAAGAATCTCCATCTGATGTAGGACGAGTAAGGATTACTTTTCTACAAGTAGTGAGCCAGGGTTAAGTATACTAGCAGCAACAATAGTAGACTTGTAGGGCTAGATTTGGTGGGATTTTATGACTGCAGAAGTATTTAAAAATTAGGAGTTTAAGGGTTTCTAAAATGGTAGGATTTTGGGAATGAAAACACAAGTGTTTAGGGGTAGTTAGGTAGTTGGGTGGTTGTTCTAAACACTGTAAACAGTGACGTGAATAGTAACCTTGCTGGATAGAAGAAGAAGAAGAGAGAGAGAGAGAGAGAAGTGCTTCACCCTCGCAAGGGATAGGCCAATCACACAAACACAATCTCAATCTCAAATTTTTATAATATTAACTCTGCTATCGAATCATTGAGATTACATATATATTTATAGGCTAAAGCCTTTCCTAATTCTATAAGGACTATTCTCCAAATTTAGAAACTAAAAATATTTAGCAACTACTAATACCAACTATGACTTCCAATTCTATTTCAATCATAATAGGAAACTTTAATGACTTCTAATTCTACTTCAATATCAAAATAGGAAATTTGGACTTTTGACCACTAAGATTATTTTAGACATAATAAAACCCATATATAATAATCATTTAATAACTTGACCCAAAATAAAACCATAGGTGACCCCTACAACCCATGTCTAACAATCATTGGAATTACCATTATACCCTTAATTACTAAAACCTACTATAATGACGTGAAGACTCAAAATCATTCCAAATATTTAATTCTTGATGCCCTAAATGTGCTTCATGTGAAATTCCAGATTTGCTTTTTTTCTTCTTTCGATGATCTTCATCATTCTCCCCTCCATTCAAAAAAACTCGACCTCGAGTTTTATAATGTTGAAGTATAAGGATTATGAACTCTTGCACTTGCAAACATTCAACTTAATTGTTTGGAACGAGCGATGAGAATATCAAAAAGTTCAATGTTGTCATCACTTCATTGACCACATCGAATTTTTTAGGAATGATAAACTCAATGTGAATATCATTTTTCTTGTAAAGTGTAGAAATTTTAGTTGCATTCTCATCATTCTCTTTTTCTTCCTTGGCTTTAGAACATTGATCATGATGATCTTTCATGCTTTCTTTAGTAAGCAAATTAATTTTTGCTATCCTTTCTTTAATATCCTCAATATTAGCGGCATGTTCATCTTGTTTTTTCATAGTTTCTTCAAAATTTTTAACATTATCATCCTTTGCTCTTGGATATTAGTCTTCTCTAAAACAACAACCAACAATCTTTTCATGGAAGCTTTCAATCCATTCAAAGTTGTTTTGATAGTATGCACATCACTCTTTATTATTGCAACATCCTTCTTGGTAGCTTCATAATCTTTTGAGAAGGCTTCGAACTTGGAATCCAATTCTGCATTTGTCACCATGGTATTTAATAAAACAACTTTGTCAAAAAAAAAAAAAAAAAAAGGAAAAACCAAAAACGGTGGAGAATAAAAGTAGGATCTTGAAGCTCTGATACCAAACTAATGTAGGATGAGTAGGGATTACTTTCCTACAAGCAGTGAGTCGGGGTTAAGTATACTGGCAGCAGCAACGGTAGACTTGTAGGGTTGGATTTGGTGGGATTGTAGGAGTGCAGGAGTATTTAAAAAATAGGAGTTTAAGGGTTTGTAAAAGGGTAGGGTTTTGGGAATGAAAACACAAATGTTTAGGGGCAGTTAGATAGTTGGGTGGTTGTTTTAAACACTATGACCAGTGACGTGAACAGTAACCTTGCTGGATAGAAGGGGAGAGAGAGAGAGAGAGAGAGAAGTGCTTCACCCTCGCAAGGGATAGGTCAATCACACAAACACAATCTCAAATTTTTATAATATCAACTCTACTATAGAATCATTGAGATTACATATATATTTATAGGCTAAAGACTCTCTTAATTCTATAAGGACTATTTCTCCAAATTTAGAAACTAAAAATATTTAGCAACTACTAATGTTCTAGACCAATTATGACTTCCAATTCTATTTCAATCATAATTGGAAACTTTAATGACTTCTAATTCTACTTTAATATCAAAATAGGAAACTTGGACTTTTGATTACTAAGATTATTTTGGACATAATAAAACCCATATATAATAACCCATTTAATAACTTGCCCAAAATAAAATCCATAGGTGACCCTTACAACCCATGTTTAACAATCATTGGAATTACCATTATACCTTTAATTACTAAAACTTACTATAATGACATGAAGACTCAAAATTATTCCAAATATTTAATTCTTGATGCCCTAAATGTGCTTCATGTGAAATTCTAGATTTGTTCTTTTTCTTCTTTCCATGAACTTCATCACCATCTCTAGGTTCAACAATTTCCATAACTATCAACTATTGCAACCACATCTCAAGATTTATACCAAATCAACTATTCCTTGTGTATCAACCTCAAATCAACTTCAATTTCATGATAGAACATCAATTTGTTGCAAAACCCTTTTTTAAATCAACATTTCAATTCTAGGGTTTCAAAGAAATTGGGGTTTTCCTCATTTCCTCCACAAAATGTTCAATTCATCAACCAACATTTATCAACATGCCAAAACATTTCAAATATTTGAGTGAAAATCCCATTTTAAAACATTTACCTCTTTTAATCAAAATCTCAAACTCATACATCATTATAACTAAGAAAATACCACATATTCATATCAAAATATAGATATACAAGGTTAAAAGTATTCCTACCTCAAAGATGAGAGTGAATGGGTGAAGACCCAAACTTTGACGGTGACGAAAACTTGATCTAATCAGCTCAAGATGTTGCTCTTGACTTGCTCTAACTTTTACCCTCAAAACTGTAGATTTTGAGTAAAAATAGATGAAATCCAAGCTTGAAGAGCTTGGTGGCTCAACAATGGTGGAGAGAGAGAGAGAGAGATCTGACCAAAAAGGTGACTTAAACACGCAGATCTCGAACAGATCGCTCCAGTGCTCATTCTTGAGTTCGGACAGTGAGAACAAATTGAATGGACTGCTCGAGCGCTCATTCTTGAGCTCGAGCGGTAAATTCATGCTCCCAGTATCTCAGGCTTGGAGTTCCATAACTGAATGGTTCAAAAGACCACTCGAGCGCTCATTTCCGCGCTCAAGCGAACTAAGCAAATTCAGCTCAGGTGCTAATTTGTCAAATGGACATTACTCTCTTGTCTGAACTCCTTTTTTGGGCGACTCAAGAGTC